TCTCTAAATAAACCACATTAAACAGCGTGGTAGTTATATTCTAACCTATAAAGTGAAGGTCTTGCAACAGATGAGCAAGAGCAGGGTTTTGGTCCAATAATTGACCAGTCATGTTAGAAGAAACCTCAATAGCGTTTTGCCAAAATCCAGAAAGCTTGTCACACTCCCACCATAAATATATGAGGGTCTCTCTCTTTTTGCAGACCCAGCAGTGTTGGGATGAACTCACAAAGGTTATGCAAGAGAGGGAGTCAGGATAGGACAAATGTTGAAACACAGATTGCGCAGTTTGAAGCAACTGGATGCATGAAAACTGACTCTCATTTTTTAGAAATAAAACATTGTCAAGGGCCATAAGTTTATTTAAAACTTTACTTACAGAACTTTCTTCAAAACAAAACAAAAAACTCCCATCAAAGGTACATCAAAATAATTCCATAATACATATGCCAGTCCAAGGCATAGGCTCAGCAACTTACAAAATATGAAATAATTCCAACAGACCTATAAGCAAAGCTCTTTCCTTACAGCATCCATTTTGCCTGGAGCTGTTTTCCTGGAGAGCTTCATTTACACCCTCACTCTCACAGAGTCTGGAAAAAAGGAACTAACCATAATCCTTCCAAGATGGTGAATTTGCAATTCAATATCTCCCATATGATCTAAGGTTAAACACTCTCAAGTTAGTGAGCAGAAAACAACAATAGTTCATTATCAACTCAGTTAAAACTCAGAATCCCTTAGAACACTGCCATGGAATTTTCCAATGTTAAACCTTTTTATCAATACACATAGCTATTCCCAGTACAGTGTGAATTAAACCAATAATACTAAACAACCACAAATAGGCTGTTGCGAAGATTAAATGGGGAAGGGATGTTCCTTGTTGCTCCTTGGAAAAAATGTGAGAAATGAATGTAATACATAAATAATCCTACATTCTAGCCAACAGTGGAGAACCTTAAATCTGGGGAGGGGGTCAAATGTGGCCCTCAGGTGGCCCTCAGAACTCTCCTGAAGCCACACCCCTTTCTCAGGCCACATTCTTCACTGGCCCTGTTTCACACCCTCCTTGAGTGTTTTTGCCTGGCTGCCTCTTCCTTGCCTGGATGGAGGACAAAGAGGGGTGTTAGCGTTTGAGTAGAAACCACCCTCCTGGTTGACCCACTTGTTGACCCACCCACTTTTGTCTCTGGCTCCGCCCACTACTTATATGTGGCCCCTGGAAAGTTTTCTAGAAGAACCCTGTGTAAGAGGCAGGGAAGGGAAAAAATCCCAGGGTGGGAAGCTGGGGAAAGAAAAAGAAGCTCCCAGGTGAGAGATGGGGGTGGGGCCCACACCATTTTGTGAGAGATAATGGTCAAGATCTAACCCTGATACAGGGCTTTGTATTTTATTTTACAGTATCTTCTCTCTTCTCTTCTTTTTTCTCTTTTTTTTCTCTCTCTTTTTTTGATCTGTTTTCTTTTTTCTTTAGGTTGGCTTGGTTTTTATTGTATTGTATGCTGAAAATTTGGGACGCGGGTGGTGCTGTGGGTGCCACAGAGCCTAGGACTTGCCAATCAGAAGGTCGGTGGTTCTAATCCCCGTGACAGGGTGAGCTCCCGTTGCTCGGTCCCTGCTCCTGCCAGCCTAGCAGTTTGAAAGCATGTCAAAGTGCAAGTAGATAAATAGGTACCGCTCTGGCAGGAAGGTAAACAGTGTTTCCGTGTGCTGCTCTAGTTCGCCAGAAGCAACTTAGTCATGCTGGCCACATGACCCGGAAGCTGTACGCCGGCTCCCTCGGCCAGTAAAGCGAGATGAGCACCACAACCTCAGAGTCAGTCACGCCTGGACCGAATGGTCAGGGGTCCCTTTACGCTGAAAATATGAGGGGGCTGGAAGCGAGTTTCCTAGAAGAGAATGTGGCCCTTGGACTGAAAAACTCCCCACTCCTATGCTTAGCTGGTATGTAATGGCAACTCCCTAGCACAGGATTCCTCAACCTCGGCCCTCCAGAAGTTTTTGGCCTACGACTCCCATGATCCCTAGCTAGCAGGACCAGTGGTCAGGGATGATGGGAACTGTAGTCTCAAAACAACTGGAGGGCCGAAGTTGAGGAAGCCTGCCCTAGCAGCTCCTCCTTTTTGCAGGCCACAGCCCTCACTGGCCTGGCCTTGCCCCCTCCTTTAGCATTTTTGCCTGGCTGGAGGACAGAGAAGGGTATATGTGAGTATGTGTAGAAACTATCCTAACATACAAAGATTAAATGCATATTCATTGCTCCTCCCGCTATTTCCCCTGGCATGTGGCCCCTATAAGGTTGCCCAGAAGGGAATGTGGCCCTGGGGGTGAATTCTACCCTGCATTCTCAGAGCACTCCAAAGTGGCACTGGTTTATGCAGAATTTTGCATTTCTGGGTCTCCCTTGCCCCTCCCCACCCCAGCAAGTCTCTGCTTCCAACAGGTAGACCAGGAAGAATACTATATATTTCCCCCTCAAATAACTGCCAACCTAAGGATCAACTTTGCTAGTTGAGGTTGAATTTCCAGGGGATTTATTTTTATTTTTAGTACAGAAGGACCATGACAAACAAAGCTGCAAATGTGAAATAAATCCACCCGTTTTGTAAAATGTGGCTTGCTTCACACTTCGGTCAGTGGTTCAATTTCCTTTTGACTTAGAACCAAATCTATCAAAATTCAGCAGAGAAAGACGGGAACTGTGATGGTGTAAGTAAGTCATCAGCTGAAACGGACGGTTTTTCAAATGCCATTTAAGAAAAGATTTTTTAAAAAAACTTTTATTATAACTAAATGCATTTGTTTAATTGTGATTTGAAACTACAAGGCAACTGGAATACAATCCACTGGGAGATTCTGGGCCCATTCAGACGACCTATTTCTGGAGCCTTCATCTAGGGTTCCTTCCACAAAGCTTATGGGGATGTTAGAGTATATCCTGTCCTTTTTGAGCATTTATTTTGATTCATTTGCTGGGTTTTTAGATTATTTGTTTATTTATTTATTTATGCTAATATTTCTATACCACAAATTCACACCTCCCTCTCTCTCTCTCTCTCTCTCTCTCTCTCCCCTCTCTCTCTTTCTGTGTGTGTGTGGTTTACAACCCTTGTACATGAACACCATGCAATAAAAACCATTAAATAAGTTAAAATTAGAAACCAGGTAATTATTGAGGAAATACGTATTCTCCATTGCCTGCATTAGCCTGACAGACTAGAAAGGTTTCCAGCAGGTGTTAAAAAGTTGACACAGAAGGCACCTGCTGAATTTCTGTTGGCAGAGCCCTCCACAGGACTAAGCTGATGACACTAAAGACTCTGCTTTGTGTTGATGTCAAATAAGCCCCACCAACTCAATGGATAACAGCAGTCCTTCAGCAACTGAGCTGAGACATAAGGGTTTGGGTGGTCCCTGGGATTCAGGGCTTTGTAAATTAACAGAAGGCCCTTGAACCTGGCTCAGGAGTCGATGGGCAGCCAGTGCAGCTGTTTTCACGATGGTGTCCCATGTTCTCGGCCAGATGCCCCCTCTGGCTGCCGCCTTCTGCACCAGCTGGAGCTTCCACACCAGGCCCAAGGGCAGAACCACATCGTGCCCCTTGCAGTAATCCAGCCTCAAGGTTACCAACTCATGGACTGCAGTGGTCAGGTTATTCCTGTCCGGGAATGGACGTAGCAGGCAAACTGCCCAAACTTGATCAAAGGCACTCCTAGCCACAGAGGAGGACAATAGGGAGGGCAAATGATAACACACATTCATCCTGCACTCATCTGGATTTGCTTGCAGTAGATTGACATGTCTTACCATTTGTCAACTCACACTTTCCAATGCATTTCCCCATCACTTTCCAAACAGCAGAAACTCACCTACCTAATCCACACATTCCCAAAAAATGCAAGAAAATGAAACACTGCTGTCCTCCAGAGTTCACACTTCTCTGAACATAGTACTATAGCCAAGTAATTTGTAACAGAATGCACTGACTAGGGTAAAATGTACACAGAAAGGCATATATCAGTGAAAATAACAGACCCAATAGCATTCTTTTAGCAGAAAATTGCTCTGCAGAAATGTGTATTTTTAAAAGGAAGATTGTGTGCAAATTTGGATAAATTAGCATCATAGGAGCCAACTCGGGGCTGAGGTCCCTTTGCCCCCCCCCCCAAATATTTGAGGGGGCCAGTCCCTCCAAAAAAGTTGGTGGGCATTGCCATTCAAATGGTGTGTGTGTGCTGTGTCTTGTGATCAATTAGGTGGGGCAGGGCCATCGTTGCAGCCAGGATTTTTTTTTTAAGGGGCAGGATTTTGTTAGAGGGGGCAAGACATTTGTTATGGGGGGCAGAACCAATGTGATTGATCAGTTAGCTGAATATTTCTATTGTTTTTCTTGATCTGGGGCTGCAGTTGCCCCCCTTGGCTACGCCCATGGGCAGGGCTTACCAGCCCCACATTTTTTATTCAAGTTGGCACCTCTGATTAGCATTAAAATGGTGATGAGTTTTCACGAGGACTTTTTCTTTTAAAAATTGCAAACTGTTGTGGAAATGTGGAAGCCTGAAGAGTGGAAAAATGAGAAACCGAGAGAACCCAACAGATCCCCACTTCCGTAACTTAAGCTCATTCTTTCTAGTCCTGCCTCCTGGGCCAGCAGAAAATATGCATTTTCCCTCTTTGATGTGACAGCCCATCAGTTTTTTGAAGAGCCCTGTCTTGTTTCCCCTCAGTCTCATCTTCTCTCCCTGCCTCTCCCACAATCCTGAGAAGCGCCACTGCTTTTCTTTGTAATCAAGCATTGTCCCCCCAAGTTCTTGGGCTGATTGTGTTCTCAGATCAGAGCACCGTATATTAAAAATGAAGAAGAAAGGAATGTTTTGGAATCTTTTGTCACTTCCAGGCAAGCGATTCATCGGGCATTCATTCTGATTTCTTTGCAGGGAGGTTAGATAACATTGAGTCAAATCAAGTCTTATCATTCACCTTTCTGGCTTATTTGCCTGTCACTTATTGCAAAAGGGGGGGGGGAATCTTTTGGGGACACAGGTCTGTTGTACAGGACCTCCCAATCAACTGTAACTGTGCAACTTGGATTTCTCTGGCATGTTACTAAATCCCACCTGAAAGCAGAGACAATCTGGAGCTGCTCTTTAAAAACATAGAGCAGGGGAGAGGAATCTCAGGTGCAGGGGCTGAATGCTGGCCCTTGAGAGTCTTCTCAGCCACACTCCTCGTGGTCTTGCTTTGCATCCTCCTTGAGTGTTTTTGCCTGGCTGGGTTGTGTCCTTGAACTCCAGGAATGCCTGGAAGATAAAGAGGAATGTGTGGGGTAATTTGATTTTTAAGGGGGGCAATTCGAGAATGGGTTATTAAGAGTGAATGGCCTTTTAGGCTTCCTCCATGTGAATAGGAGTTCACTTTTTGAATAACAACAACAACAACAACAACAACAACAACAACAACAACAACAACAACATTTTATTTATACAACAACAACAACAACAACATTTTATTTATATCCTGCCCTCACCAGTCGAAGCCAGGCTCAGAGCGGCTAACAACAATAAAAGTAACACAGCATTCTAAAATCAATTCATTTTAAAATCAATTCAGAATCCTGTTGCGGGGAAGCCTCGGACCATCGGCTGGGTGAGGACTGCAGGGCCTGCTCCCTTCCAGGGCCTTTTCCAACTGGCCCAGGGGGCGTGGCCAGGCCCTTTCTCCCAGCTATAAAGGGACTCCTGCTGCGGGGAAGCCTCGGACCATTGGCTGGGTGAGGACTGCAGGGCCTGCTCCCTTCCAGGGCCTTTTCCAACTGGCCCAGGGGGCGTGGCCCAGGCCCTTATTTGGAACAAACTTTTGGGGAAGTGTGGGAAGTGTTCTGCCATTGCTTCCCTGTTCCAGGTGGTTAACGTGCTTTAAAATGTCCTCAAGCAGTTGGTGGCAATTTAAATTTTTATTCCTTTTTTTCCTTTTTTCCTTTTTTGGGGGTGGGTGGGATGGATAGTTGGTTGGGGATTAATTTTAGTATAATTGTTCTGTTCCTTTTTGTTGTTGTTGTTTTATTGGTTCTGTATAGTTTGTGTTTTGTTTTTAAGGGGCGGGATCAGGGCTGCCTGGGAGTGGCTCCCCAGCCAACACGATGGCTGGGACAAGTTCCACAGGGGGGGAAGCACTGGGACATCCGATCTCAGTGATCATGGGCAGGAGGCGGAGTTACGCTAAGACCAGACCATGTCATTACCGAGGAGGCAGGTTTATTTGTTGTTTGAAGACTATCCCTGCCTCCGGGTCTGGCCTTGACCGGATGGATACTGGAATCAACAGGGGAAACCCACATGACCTGAAAGTGTTGCTGTGCAATGCCAGGTCAATGATGAATAAAACCACTGCCATCCACGACTTGATTGTGGATGGAGGATTTGACCTGGCATGTGTGACAGAGACCTGGTTGGAGGAAGCAGATGGGCCTGTCCTTGCCGCTGCTTGCCCACCAGGTTTCTCTTACGCACAGCAACCCAGGTCATGTGGGCGGGGAGGGGGTTGCAGTGATTTTTAGGAAGTCACTAGCTTGCACCAGGCGTCCTACTGGGAAGATCCAGTTCTCTGAGTGCATGTTCTGGAAGTTGGGCAATAGGGGCAGTACAGGATTCCTTTTGGTGTACCGACCTCCCCGCTGCACCAAGGATTCCCTGTCCGAGCTGCTTCAGGTCGTGGCGGATGTTCTCCTGGAGACACCTAGTTTGGTTGTCCTAGGGATTTTAACATCCATGCCGACACGACCTTACAAGGGGCCGCTCGGGACTTCGTGGAAAGCATGGCCTCCATGGGGCTGTCCCTGAATAAGTTTGGCCCAACTCATAGTCATGGACATGCCTTAGACCTGGTGTTCACCTCTAGTGACGTGGGTGATCTGACACTAAGTAAAAGTGAAACAAAAGAAGTGCCATGGTCAGATCACTTCCTGGTGCAACTGGACTTCTCCGCGACCCTTCCCCTCTGCAGGGAGGTGGGACCAATTCGGATGGTCCGCCCCTGCCACTTAATGGATCTAAATGGTTTCCAGAGAGTGGTAGGGGATGCTTTAGCCCATGTTGATGGCCTTTCAGCTGATTCCCTGGTGGCCCGCTGGATTGCGGAGTTAACCAGGGCTATCGACTGTCTGGCTCCGAAGCACCCTCTACGATTGCATGGAGCCCGGACAGCCCCGTGGTTTTCTTCGGAGCTGAGGGCGATGAAACAATCGCTGAGACGGCTAGAGCGTCAGTGGCAGAAAACTCACTCCGAATCTGACTGGACACAGGTTAGAGCTCAACGTCGAGCCTACCAAGTGGCGATAGCGACGGCGAAGAAGACTTTCTTCACCGCCTCTATTGCATCTGCAGAAAATAGTAGCAGGAGACTCTTTCAGGTGGTTCGCAATTTAATGGAACCACCTTTACCACCGGGGCCTTGTAAAGACCCCAAGATCTCCTGCAACGATTTTGCAAAGTTTTTTGCAGATAAAATCACTCATATTCGGAAGGAGCTAGACACCACCGTGGGAGCAGGGCCGGGGCGGGAGAGTGCTAGAGCTCTGGCTGGTCAAGTTGCATGGAATCAATTTCAATCCGTTACCCCCGAGGATGTGGACAGGCTGCTTGGACGCGTGAAACCAACCACCTGTCTCCTTGATCCTTGCCCACCCTGGCTAATAAAAGCAAGCCGGGAAGGGCTGGGCGATGGGCTCTGCGGGGTGGTGAATGCTTCCCTCTGTGAGGGAACATTCCCAGATCCGCTGAAAGAGGCGGTCATTAAACCGCTTCTTAAAAAACCATCTTTAGACCCGGCCAGTATGGCCAACTATCGCCCAGTCTTAAATCTTCCATTCTTGGGCAAGGTGATTGAGCGCGTGGTTGCTGAACAACTCCAGGCACGCCTGGAGGATGCGGACCATTTGGATCCCTTCCAATCGGTATTCAGGCCTCACCATGGGACTGAAACTGCCTTGGTCGCGCTGGTTGATGATCTCCGGCGAGCTAGGGACAAAGGTGAGAGTTGTTTCCTGGTTCTGCTGGATCTCTCAGCGGCCTTTGATACAATCGACCATAACATCCTTCTGGACCGTCTAGAGGGGCTGGGAGCTGGGGGCACTGTTATACAGTGGTTTCGCTCCTTCCTCCTGGGCCGTGTTCAGAAAGTGGTGGTGGGGGATGAGTGTTCAGACCCCTGGGCCCTCACTTGTGGGGTGCCTCAGGGTTCCGTCCTCTCCCCTATGCTTTTTAACATCTATATGAAGCCGCTGGGAGAGATCATCAGGGATTTGGACTGGGTGTCCATCAATATGCAGATGATACCCAGCTCTACCTCTCTTTCAAATCAGAACCAGTGAAGGCGGTGAAGGTCCTGTGTGAGTGCCTGGAGGCGGTTGGAGGATGGATGGCGGCTAATGGATTGAAGTTGAATCCTGACAAGACAGAAGTATTGTTTTTGGGGGACGGGGGCGGGCTGGTGTGGAGGACTCCCTGGTCCTGAATAGGGTAACTGTGCCCCTGAAGGACCAGGTGCGCAGCCTGGGAGTCATTTTGGACTCACAGCTGTCCATGGAGACGCAGGTCAATTCTGTATCCAGGGCAGCTGTCTACCAACTCCACCTGGTACGCAGGCTGAGACCCTACCTGCCCGCGGACTGTCTCACCAGAGTGGTGCATGCTCTAGTTATCTCCCGCTTGGACTACTGCAATGCGCTCTACGTGGGGCTACCTTTGAAGGTGACTCGGAAACTACAACTAATCCAGAATGCGGCAGCTAGACTGGTGACTGGGGGCGGCCGCCGAGACCACATAACACCGGTCTTGAAAGACCTACATTGGCTTCCAGTATGTTTCCGAGCACAATTCAAAGTGCTGGTGTTGACCTTTAAAGCCCTAAACGGCCTCGGCCCAGTATACCTGAAGGAGCGTCTCCACCCCCATCGTTCTGCCCGGATGCTGAGGTCCAGCGCTGAGGGCCTTCTGGCGGTTCCCTCATTGCGAGAAGCAAAGCTACAGGGAACCAGGCAGAGGGCCTTCTCGGTAGTGGCGCCCACCCTGTGGAACGCCCTCCCATCAGATGTCAAAGCGATAAATAACTACCTGACATTTAGAAGACATCTTAAGGCAGCCCTGTTCAGGGAAGTTTTTAATCTGTGATATTTTACTGTATTTTTGGTTTCTATGGAAGCCGCCCAGAGTGGCTGGGGAAACCCAGCCAGATGGGCGGGGTACAAATAATAAATTATTATTATTATTATTATTATTATTATTATTATTATTATATTAATGGCAACCATTGGGCTAGAGTTCTGTGAGGATTACCAAAGGAGGGAGTCAGGCTGTGCCTTGGCCAAAGGCCTGGTGGAACAGCTCTGTCTTGCAGGCCCTGCAGAAAGATGTCAAGTCCTGCAGGGCCCTAGTCTCTTGTGACAGAGCATTCCACCAGATAGGGGCCACAGCTGAAAAAGCCCTGGATCTGGTTGAGGCCAGCCTAACCTCCCTGTGGCCCGGGACCTCCAAGATGTTTTTGTTTGAAGATCGTAAGGTCCTCCATGGGACATACCAGGAGAGGTGGTCCTGTAGGTAAGAATAAGAATTTTATGTCACGGGGGGTGGGGTGCGGGGTTTAGAGATGCTTAGGTGGGGTATGGTCAAAAAAAGGTTGGGAACCACTGATCTAAACTGAGGTCAACTGCTGTACTGTAGCAGCCTTGGCTGGTGCCCACTGAGACTGGGGGAGCGGAATGCAGGGAGCCCCAACAGTACGTGGGGCTCAATCCAATGACAGGCAGAACCAACTAACTTTCATTCTGTCGCCATCCTCTGCTGGAAGTGCTGGGATGCAAATCTGCTTGCCCTGGAGGGCTGGTGGGTCTACATGGGAAAGAGTAGACAGAGAGAAGAATCTGCTAGACTGTGCTTTAACATGTGCTGACCTTCCTCCTGGTGTTGGGACTGATTCTTGTTTTCCCTAAAAGAGGTACAATTCCCAGAACTCTTAACAAACCACAGTTCCCAGGATTCCTTGCTGGAAGTAACATGCTTTGAATGTGCATTGGATTTGCTTTAAACATACCGAGTCACATTACTCCAACCCCACCCACAATTTGTCAAGCAACTCTGCAAGCTGGTAATGAGCATGAAATTACAGTGGTACCTTGGGTTAAGTACTTAATTCATTTCAGAGGTCCGTTCTTAACCTGTAACTGTTCTTAACCTGAAGCACCACTTTAGCTAATGGGGCCTCCTGCTGCTGCCGTGCCGCCGGAGCACGATTTCTGTTCTCATCCTGAAGCAAAGTTCTTAACCCGAGGTACTATTTCTGGGTTAGCGGAGTCTGTAACCTGAAGCGTCTGTAACCTGAAGCATATGTAAGCCGAGGTACCACTGTACTGCAGCCAACCAGAACCCTGCCCCCCCCCCCCCATATTCCACCCCTCCTCAACCAGAATAAGCCCATCCTGCCTTCCAGGAGTGAACTCCTGCTATTAAAAGCCATGTTCATTGCTATTGCTTAAAGAAATACTGTAAACAGCCACAAAGACTCCTTCCTTGGGGACCAAATGAATCCCTGCCACTTAAGATCACATTTATTTATTTATTTATTTATTTTAAAGGCAGACCTTGTGTCGTTTATCGCTCCCCAGAGGGACACGGACACACA